GAGGCTTTGCAGTGGGGTCATAAGTCACTTGAAGGTGCCGAGAACTGCAGATGCTGGAGTTAGAGTCAATGGAAGTGTGGAGCTGGAGGAATACAGCAGGTCAGGCAGCATCGAAGGAGTAGGAAAGTCGAGGTTTCGGGTTCTGAACAAGTGTCCTGACCTGAGATGTCAACTTTCCTACTCCTCTGATGCTGCCTGACCTGCTGTGTTCCTCCAGCTCCATGCTGTGTTGACTCTCACTGTGACTTGTCCATCAAGCTGCATTAGCCCTTCATATCTGGTGTCTCATTGATGAGGCAGAGTGGAAAGAAAAGGAGACAAATCCTGCTGTCCAGATCCCACTACTTCATGGGACGTCCCATGTGTCAAAAGGTCTGGGGTTGCTAAGTCACTTGGCAGACCAGTGTTCCCTCTTCATTTACTAAATAAAAGCCGAAAGAACTGTGGATGCTGTAAATCAGAAATAAACCTTCTGAGGAATGGTCACTCAACCCGAAACATTAACTCTGATTTCTCTGCACAGATGTTGCCAGACCTGCTGAGCTTTTCCAGCAGTTTCTATTCTTGTTTCCTTCTTGATTACTGATGGCGATCACTGTGCATGGATCCTTGGTGCCCAGCTTCGAGGGCATATTGCTAACGCCCCTAAGTAGACGTCATCCTCGAATCAAAGGTCTGCTGACCACAATGAGGGGCAGTGCACAGCAGGGAGCATGCGTGTTCATCCTGGGACAGGAGGAAGGATTGTATTCCTCCTGGATTCCATGACGGATTTTGTAAACTTCGTTAGACAGAGTCTTAGAAGCAGATGATTCACACGCACACAGAACACTTACTAGGATAAACATTTGTCTCACCTGAATATCTATTCTGGACTGGCAGTTGGCCTGTTTGCTTTTATTAGTCGTTCATGAGTTATGGGCATTGCTGGTTGAGCAGACACTTATTGCCCATACCTGGTTACCTTTGAGAAAGTGGTGCACTGTGCTTTTGAACCGCTGCAGTTTCTTTGATGCAGGTAGACACACATTGTCATTAGGTAAGGAATTCCAGGACTTTGAAGAATTGGTGATACATTTCCAAGTCAGGATGGTGAGATGCTTGGAGGGAAACTTGAAAGGGTGGTGTTCCCTTAACCTTCTTGATTATAAATGTTGTTAGTTGGAAAGTGCTATCCCAGGATCTTTGGTGAATGTCTGCATCACATCTTGTAGATGGTGCACATTGTTGCTGCTGTTGAGTGTTGGTGGTGGAGAGAGTGTCATAGGGATGTACAGCACAGAAACAGTTCAGTCCAACTCATCCATGTTGAGCAGATATTCTAAATTAATCTAGTCCCATTTGCCAGCATTTGACCCATATCTGTCTAAAGCCTTCCTATTCATATACCATTCAGATGTGTTTTAAATGTTGTAATTGTGAATGCTTGTAGATGTGCTAATTAAGTGGGCTTCTTTGTCCTGGATGATATCAGGCTTCTTGAGAGTTATTGGAGTTGCACGCAACTAGACAAGTGGCAAGTTTTCCATCTCACTCCCGGGTTGTGCCTTCTAGATGGTGGACAGTCTTTGGAGAGTCAGGAGGTGAGTTACACTCTGCAGGATTTCTGGTTCTTTGACCTGCTCTTCTAGGCACAGCACTTATTTGGCTAAGCCTGTTCAGTTACTGGGAAACAGCAATCCCCAGGAAATTGTTGTGGGGTATTCGGTAATTATAATGCCATTGAATTTCAGATGCACTGGTTAGATTCTTTCTTGTTGGAGATGGCCATTGTTTGGCACTTGTGTGGTACAAATTTACTTGCCACTTGTCAGCCTAAACCTGGATATTGTCCAAGTCTTGTTGCATTTGAACATGGACTGATTCAGTATCTGAGGAGTTGCAGATGGTACTGAACATTGTGCAGTCATCAGCGAATATCTCAACTTCTGACATTATGGTGGAGAGAAGGTCATTGATGAAGCACTAAAGATAGTTGGGCCTAGGAGATGATGGTGAGGAACTCCTACGTAGATGTCCTGGAGTTGAGATAACTGACCCCAAACAACCATGACCATCTTCCTTTTTGTCAAGTATGATTCCATCCTGCAGGAATTATCACTGATTCCCATCGACTCCAGTTTTGCTAGGCCTTCTTGATGCCAAGGCCAGTCACTCTCATCTCACCTCTGGAATTCAGCTCTTTTGTCATATTTGAATGAAGGCTGTAATGAAGTCAGGAGCTGAGTGGCCCTGACAGAACCCAAACTGAGTGTGATTGAGCAAGTTATTGCTAAGCAAGTGTAGCTTGATCGCACTGTTAATGACACCTTCGATCACTTTAGTGCTGATGCGTGGATTGAAGAGGTAATAATTGATTTGATTTATTATTGTCACATGTACCTAGGTACAGTGAAAAATTTTGTTTTGCATGCAACAGGCAGGTCATACCATTCAAAGTGCATTAGAGTAATAGAACAAAGCGAGGAGTACAGTGTTATGGCTGCAGAGAAAGTGCAGAAATAGTGAGATCAACGTTAAATTTAAAATTTGAGAGGTCCATTCAGAAGTCTAGTAACAGCAGGGAAGAAGCTGTTCTTGAATCTGTTAGTACGTGTGTATAAGCTTTTGTATTTTCTGCCTGACGGAAGAGATTAGAAGCGATTATAATGGGGGTGAGAGGGGTCTTTGATTATGTTGGCTGCCTTTCCAGGACAGTGAAAAGTATACATAGAGTCAATGGATGGAAGGTTGGCTTGCGTGATGGACTGGGCTGTGTTCGCAACTCTCTGTAATTTTTTACGGACCCGGGCAGAGCAGTTGCCATACCAAGCGGTGATGCATCCGGATAGAATGCTTTGTATGGTGCATCTCTCAAAATTGGTAAGAGTTTTTACGGACGCGCCGAACTTCCTTAGCCTCCTGAGGAAGAAGAGGCTTCGTGCTGAATTGACTGTCGCATCAACGTGGGTGCACCAGGACAGATTGTTGGTGATCATCATTCCTAGGAACTTGACGCTATTGGCCGTCTCCTCCATTGATGCAGACAGGGGCGTGTCAGGTTGGATTTGTCCTGTTTTTTTTTTTGTGTACATTCTTTCCTCCTGGTGCAGGATTGACCGCATATGTTTCCTGCTGCATATTGCCCCCGGCCACAGTCGGCAGTCTCTATATTTGAAGATGACGTCTACTCAGGTTTCATAAATTTCTGCCCTGCGTCTTCACGTGACCAAACAGTGTGACTTGGAGGTTTTGGTGTTCACTTAAACCTCTGCTCCCCTGATTCTTCCAGGTGGCAGAGGCTGAATGTTTGAGACATCCTGTGGACCCTCTGGTTGAATTGTATTGAATTGATCTTGGGTCCCGAGATGTAGACAATATTAAACATGTCTTTTTTTGTCTGTCTATCTACCTCACTCCTTTTTGTGTTCCACCATCACTGCCCTGGCCTCATCACGAAGATCTGAGTTTCATGTAGCCTAGACTATGTGGAACACGCCCCTCCCTGAAGGACATTAGTGAACCTCTTTGAGTTGTTTTATGTCAATCCAGTAGCTTTCACTCACGGTCACTTTTTCCTCGGATGGCCACACAATTAACAGATTTATTCAGCTCAATATCACAAACTGCCTTTGTGAGTTATTTCTCACTTTTTTTTTCCATTCTAAATTGGTTTAACAGGCCTTTAGAAAGGGAAGATTTGCTGTCGGCATACTCAAACTGAACACCACCCCACGTTTTCACGGAATCGGCCATGTTATCTTATATGAGAATGAAAAACAGAGTGGCAGAAAAAAATGAGGAGAAACAGAGTGGCAGAAACAGCTAAGGAGAACATGAATACGACTGAATTTTGAATATGGAAGGAAATAACACTATTCACAACGGGGAGAAACCGTACAAGTGTTCTCTGTGTGGACGAGGTTTCAGCCGATTATCTGGCCTCTCAAAACATAAATGCAGTCAGGATGGGGAGAAACCGTGGAAGTGTGGGGACTGTGGGAAGGGATTCCAGTACCCTGGCCAACTGGAAATCCATCGGCGCAGTCACACTGGGGAGCGGCCGTTCACCTGCTCCGATTGCGGGAAGGAATTCGCTCGGTTATCCACTCTGCTGACACACCGGCGAGTTCACACCGACAAGAGACCTTTCAAATGTCCAGACTGCGGGAAGTGCCATAAAAGTTCCGGGGAACTGATGTCCCACCAACTTGTTCACACCGACGAGAGACCGTTCAGGTGCTCTCACTGCGGGACTGGGTTCAAACGGTCGTCTCAACTCATTGTGCACGAGCGCATTCACACAGGAGAGAGGCCCTTCACGTGCTCGATGTGTGGGAAAGGATTCACTCAGTCAACCCACCTGCTGAAACACCAGCGAATTCACACCGGGGAGAGACCGTTCACCTGCGCCGTGTGCGGGAAAGGGTTCACTCGGTCCTCCAACCTTCTGACGCACCAGCGAGTTCACACTGGGGAGAGACCTTTCAATTGTCCAGACTGCGGGAAGTGCTTTAAAAGTTCCAGTGAACTAATGCGCCATCAACGTGTTCACACCGACGAGAGACCGTTCAGGTGTTCTCACTGCGGGACTGGATTCACACGATCATCTGACCTCACTGTACACCAGCGAATTCACACTGGGGAGAGGCCGTTCACCTGCTCCAAGTGTGGGAAGGGATTCACTAAGTTATCCAACTTGTTGGCGCACCAGCGTATACACAATTAAGTGCTGCGTTTGGATTTTTCTATGAATTACATCCAGAACTTGAACTACGTTTATTGGAGTCCGTTTCTGCTGATGTTAATAATCTCTAGCCCAGGTATCGGTATTATTATTCAGGTAAAAATCAAATCAATGTTTTAAATACAGTATATTGAATCTTTTTGATAGCTCTAATGCAAGTTGGTTCCTTTTGAAGAGTGCTGTCTCTCCCCTGTCTCTGCCATCCTCACCACCAACAACAAGTGCAAGGATCTCATGGAACATCCTTGTCACTAAGGTTGAGACAGTTTGATCCGCTGCCTCTGCTGCTTCCCTCTCTTCCACTGGCCTACTTGGCCAGACTATCTTGAACATTTATCTTTGTCCAAGCCCTAAATTCACATAGAGGTATACAGTACAGAAGCAAGCACTTCGGCCCAACTTGTCCATGCCGACCAGGATTCCTGGACTGAACTGGTCCCATTTGCCTGCATTTGGCCCATAGCCCTTTAAATCTTTCCTGTCCATGAACCTGTCCAAATGTCTTCTAAATGTTGTAATTGTACTCACCTCTACCACTTCCTCTGGCAGCTCATTTTATTATGCACCCCCCTCTGTGTGAAAAGGTTGCCCTTCAGGTCCCTTTTAAATCTTTCCCCTCTCACCTTAAACCTATGCCCTGTCAATGCCCCTCATGATTTTATAAACCTCTACAAGGTCACCCCTCACCTTCCTATGTTCCAGGGAGAAAAGCCCAGCCTATCTCGCCTCTCCTTATAGAACTCAAACCCCCCAGTCTTGGTAACATTTTTTTTGCACCCTTTTTCAGTTTTTAATAACATCCTTCTTACAGCAGGGAACCAGAATTGTACGCAGTACTCCAATTGCAATGTCACTAATGTTTGAAACAGCTGTTCTTTGACATCTCAACTCCTGTAACTCAATGCTCTGACTGATATGCCAAACGTTTTCTTCAGCACCCTGTCTACCTGTCATGCCACTCTATTCAGATACACTTTCCATTGCCCTACCGTTAACTATGTATGTCCTGACCTGGTTTGTCTTGCCAAAATACGACACATCACATTTATCTGAACTAAACATCTTTGTCCATTCGGTGTCTGTACACACCGGTGAGTTCATACAGGAGAGAGAGCATTTGAATCAGCTTGACAAGAACTGTACACGTATAGTTGGTGATGGTGCACTTGCTGTGGTCCCAACTCCGTCCATCTGCTCTCACTGCAGGAAGAAGTTCGGGTGATTGAGAAACCTGTAGCAACACTGGTGAGTTAACACTGGGGAGAGGTCACGCACCTGCTTCATGTATCAGAAGAGATTCACTAATTCATCCGACCTGATTGCACACCAGTCAGTTCACAATGTTGGAGGATCTTTCAAATGGATTTCAGCGATTTTTATCCAATGTCCTGTCGAGCTGGTCTCCAATGAACATGTTCACATTGATAAGAGACTGTTCAGGTCCTCTCATTGCAGGGCTGTGTTCAACTCACTGAACATCAGCGAGTGCATGTTGGGGAGAGGCCAAGTGTGGGCAGGGATTCAGTCAGTCATCCCACTTGAATACACACAATGTGTTTGCACCAATAAGAATCTGTTTCAAACTCCTTACTCTGAGCAGAAATTTAAAAGCACGATGTATCTGCTAAATCATAAACACGTTCATTTGCAGCAGTGTGTGCTACCTGCAAGATGAATTGCAGAAATTCACCAAAGATCCTTGGACAGCACCTTCCAAACCCACAACTGTTTCCATCTAGAAGAACAAGGGCAGCAGATATGTGGGAACACTGCCACCTTCATGTTCCATCCAAACCATTTACCATCCTGACTTGAAAATATATCGCAGTTCCTTGACTGTTGCTGGATCAAAATCCTGGAATTCCCTCCGTAATGGCATTGTGGGTCAACCCACAGCAGGTGGACTGCAGCGGTTCAAGAAGGCAGCTCACCACCACTTTCTCAAGGGCAGCTAGGGACAGACAATAAATGCTGGTCAGCCAGCGATGCCCACATCCCAGATGAATGAAAACATTCACACAGTGAGAGGCTGTTCACCTGCTGCCTATATGGGAGAGATTCACTTAGTTATCTTGATGTCGGCACTGAGTGACTCCATCCTATCGTAATTACTGCAGGTAAAGACACATACAGGACAGAATCATGTTCATTCTGATAGCTGGTGTTTGTTTTTATTAATTTAACTAATAATCCCTGCAACTGGGCTGGAGGTTAATATCCTGGACAAATGCCAAATAAATCAGCCATGCGTTACTACACTGTTGTAGGTTTCTGTCTTTTCCAGCTGACTGTTGATCAACACTTGACTGGAGCTCGAAAAGGACAACCTGGGGGTAGGATCATACAGCGGAAACTTGTCCGGACACGGTCCTCCAGGGTCACACTGAGAGGGACAAACAGCACTTTGGTCTTGCTCATCTGTCTTCACTGACAGCAAAGTCAGAGTTAATCCCGACGTGAGGGAGAAACATATCCCAGCTGTTCTCCTCCATGGTTCACAGCTCCTAGGCACGGAACACAAGCTCCTTTACAACTGGGTTTAGAATTAGCAAGAACATCGGGGAATGCAGTAAACATGCTGTTAAATCTGAGGTTGGGGTCCAACTGGGATCTATTTCTGACTGAAAGTGAAGCACCAAGTTTTAAGTTTCCAGTCTGAAAATGCCATTTTCTGCAATTATTCTGTGAAGATGTAACATGTTTACCTGCTGTGAGTATGGGAAGGAATTCACTCCCTATCCCACCTGCCGTGACATACCAGCAAATTCACCCTGATGAGAGAACTTCTAAATTCCCAGACTGTGGGAGGTGCTATAAAATGTGTGGGGAACATATGCACCATCGACATGTTCATGCTGACGAGAGACAGTTCAGATATTCTCTCTGCTGCGACTGGGATTAAGCGATCGCCTCGATTCTGTGCATCAGTGAGTTTACACTGAGGAGGGACTATTCACCTGTTCCGAGTGTGGGAAGGGATTCAATCAGTCATTCCATTTGCTGAGGCACCAGCGAGTTCACAAGTAACTGCAGGGATTGGAATTTGCTGTTAATCACATACAGGACTGAATCATGTTGATTTGCATATGTTTGTGCTGATGTTGAAAAACTCCAGTCCACTCAGAGGTGTTAACGTTGTTGGTAAAACACAAATAAATCAGCTTTATGTTAAATGCAGCGAATGCATGTTGTTTTGATATATTTGACTCAGGTCAGTTACCTTCTCATCTGTCTTCAATGTACGCCAGCACATTCAAACTGGAGAAAAACAGTTCATTGACTCCTAATGTAAGATTTGATCATTCTTCCACTTTACTGAGATACAGGATGCCTAATTGGAATTCATCCATTTGACCAGAAATTCCTTTTAATTTTCCGGTTCTCAACTTTAACCAAATGGAAAAGAAAGTCTATTCAGATATAAATTCAAAGAAATCCAAGTTAAGAAGAAATATAAATTAATACAGAGTTGTAATATAGAATGTTGAAATTAATTTGTTCCAATGATATAAGAGTAATACATCTATACAGTCAAATCTTTTAATTTTTCTGTCTTGTTTTGTCAAAGCTTTTTGTCTTACCCTTATCAGGACAATTCACAAGAATGCCAAATCAAGGGGAAAGCTAACGTTTGCACTGCATGAAAGGAGAGTGCTGATTGGTTGGCATGGGGACTTTCGTGAAGACATTACTAATCACTGTAAATGCAAATGCTTCTGATGATTGCGAGAAGAAACATGCTGTTTATCAGCAATGTTCAAGTTCTGTACTACCAAACAAACAACTGCTTTTAATTTTTAACATAGTGTCCCTCTGTTATTAACATTATCTAGTCTCAATTTCCCACATTAAGTTAACCTAAAAGGAGACATAAACATACTTGTCATATCCAGTAGACTTCTATGTCATTTTATCGGTTGATCAGATCAGGGGAAGCTATGGACATTTCTGGGTACCATTTCTGGGTCTCTAGAGATGGGAATTTTGACCCCAAGCACAAATTCAAGAGTCTCTCTCTCCACACATTAATGGCTGATTGATTGGCTGGCCTATTCTTTAATTCTGTTTATTTGATCTTTAGCTTTGATAACAGAACAGTGAAATGTTCAATATATTCCCTTAATCTGATTTTGAACAAACATCTTTATGTAATTTGTATGTATTGTTTCTAAGTTTTAATACAATCTGATTTAAATACACTCTTTGGAACAGTTCTGAGAGTTTAAAGCATCATAATAACAACAAATAATTATTGAAAACCAAAAGAACTGCGGATGCTTGAAATCAGAACGTGTTCTAAGGAAGGGTCACTGGACCCGAAACATTAATTCCGATTTCTCTCTGCTGTGGTTTGCCAGTAATTTCTGTTTTTGTTTGGGAACAAATAATTATTTTTAACCCTCCAAACATATGTACAACTAAATTTAGTGAATTATCTGTTCCCTGGATAGTGTCCAGCCACTGCATAGTTAATATTTTGAGACCAGCAATCAGAAGAAGTTCTCCAGCAATTTATGTTTTTGTTTGTTTCAGATCTCCAGCATCCACAATTCTTTGTTTTATTTGAGCATAACTTGTACGTGTAATAGAGTGTTGATCAGGATAATGAAGGTGATGTCCAAAAGGCATTTGATAGTCTACCTTACAACGGATCTATGATCAACGTTACAATTATTGGAATAACAGGGGCAGAAACAACATAGACATATAACTGTGTGACATGAAATAGACAGTGACAGACTGGTAGATGAAGTTCAATGTGGAGTGATGTGAGGCAATTCACGTTCTGAAGATCAACACTCTCATCTCATGCCGTATAAATATTGTGTTCCCTTTACAGTAGTATTTCTTGTCAATTGCCCTGAGGAGCGCAAGACGAACAGCTTTGGCAAAGTTTGACTTTTGTCACCAATCAAGTTCAGTACTACCAACAACAATTAAACAAAGGGTACAACTCCAAAAGTATGTAGAGGCAGAGGGACTTAGTGTAGAAGGCATTAAATGTGGCAGCTTGAGAGAGTACTCAGGAAAATATACACTATCCTAGGGGTACGGAGTGTAAGAGCAAGCCGTTGTGTTGATCTTGCATAAGAGACTAGCCTCAGCTGAAATGTGGCAACCCACTTCTGGGCTCTGCATTTTAGAGAAAACATGGAGAAAGCGCGGAAACGTTTCGTGAGAATACTGTTGGATTGTGAAATTTTAGTTAGAATAGGTTAGACTGTTCGCTCTGTAGCAGTGCGCAGGCGCAGAGCTGATTGTTGAATAGAGCATGCGTGGAGTGAGTGGTGGCGTTGCGGAGAGTTTTGTTCTCGGCTCCGAAAACGTTACCAAATGAGGCTGGAAGAAGGGGCCGATGGATCAGGCGGGTGAATGGGGAGGCTCTGTGAACTTCTTGTGTAAGCTGAAAAGCCGGGAAAATAATTTCCGGTGGCACCGCCTGCACAGACGGAAGCGAATTGAACGCTGGAGGCTTTCGCCCAGAGACAGGGCCCCAGGGCGGCCGCCGCCATCTTTGTTGGGGTTTATGCGGTTGTTGTATGGGTGTGAGGACACCATATTTGTGAGGGGCAATGTCTGGAATGACTGGGAGGATCTTGTTGCCCATTGTTCAGACAACTCGTCCCTCAAACTGTATTAGCCTTTCATACCCAATGTCACATTGGTGAGGCAGAGCCGTGGTACAGAAGGAAAGAAAAAGAAACAACTCCTGGTCTCCTCAATCCACTATCTCATGAGGTGTCTCGCCTCATGTGTCTAAAGGTCTGCAGCTCAGTTCAATCACGTGAAGGCACAGGGCAAAGAACTATGACGCTGGAAATTTGAAACAGAAATCGCTGGACAAATTCGGCAGTCCTGTCAGGTCTCTGGAGAGAAAGCAGAATTAAAATTTTTGAGTACAGCATTCTGGAGAAGGATTTCTGCCAGGCCTGCTGAGTTTCTCCAGTGATGTCTGTTTTTGTTCCAGAAATGCATAGCCCTGTGTCACTGTGGCGACAGTGAGGGGTAATGTACTCAAGGAAACATATACCATCATCGTAAGTTAGGAGGAGAGAACGTCAGGAATTCCTATCTTGGACTGTCAGGGATGGATTTTGGAAGCTCCTTTTCCAGGGGATCAGAAGGGGAGCATGGTCACACAGCAGACTCAAATTTAGAGAAATATTTGTCTCTTCTGAATGTCAACCCTACTCACACATATTGATTTTGTAAACTTTGTTTTACAGGATATTCAAAGAGGATGTGCTGTGACATCACCCACTCCCTGGAGAGTTCCTCAACCGTGAAATTTTTCTCTGACTCCAGTGCTTCTGATATCATTCCAGTTGCAGGTACCAGCTGAAAAATTTAACATTGAAAGCTGAAGTTGTTTTAGAGATGAGTATTTCTGATCATTTATCTACAATATTGAGCTTTTGCTGTTGTGCCGTGTTATATGTGTGAGAGGTTCCATGGCTCTGGGGCTGGTGTGACTCCTTAATGTAGATCTGAGACCATCTCCATCTGTTACCCCCTCTGGTCATCTCTCTATCATTGTCTAACTTCCTCTGAATCTTAAAATGTTCGGATGAAGTTTTGTATTTTGCTGTTACTTCTGTTGACTGTTTTAAAATGTAATTTCTACTGTTGCCCATCCTTGACCATGTCTTTTGCCAGTCTTACAAATTTTAAATTCCCACGGTATTTTTCATAGTCAGGGTTTTTTCCATGTGCTATTGTCCATTTTACTTCTACTCCTGAGCTTTTAATGACCATCAAATTCTACAGCATTTCTATTCACCAGTGTGATGCTAGGTATAAGTCCCAAAACCGATGGCTGATGTCCCTTCAGCTGTTCACGAGAGGCAATGTACTCACCGTACCCAACCAACTCCTGCTAGCAGCACCAAAAACACACACACAAATATCAGATTTGTTTCTGTGATTGCAGAACATTTGATAAATAACTGAGTGTGCTAAATATTATGCTGACAGTCAATGTAGGCAGTAGGGCTTGCTGTGTGGCACACTTGAGCTTACTGGAAGCTGCGTATATTAATGCACATGGTCCTATTCTTAGCAGACAGAAATAACATGTACACAAAGTGCCTCTGTTTCAAATCAGGTTCCAATTCTGTAATTCAGTTCTCAGGGCAATGCCTTCACTATTCACTACCAAGCTATCTGGTTAATCTTTAAACAAAAACCTGTCAGTTATCATCTAACAGGTGCATTGCCCAGCACAATGCCTTGACCAATCAGAATCCACTTTCCAACCAATCAGCAACTCTTGTCACATGATGAAATATTATTATTGATCATTCTTGTGAATGTCCTGATGAATGCAAGACAAGGTTTGATACAATGTGTCTTTTTTCAACAGTCCTTGACCTTCTTAAACTGCTGGGGTTCGTGGAGTGATGTGATCCTGTAATACTGTTAGGTAAGGACTTGTTGGTTAATTCCCGAGCAATGAGGGAAAAACAATGAACATCCACATCAATGGCACAATTTTGTAGTGATAAGAGTGCTGTCACTGTAATAAAATGTTATTTAACAGGAGTGTTACAAAGCACCAAACCACATGAGCAGATATGAGGGCAGATATCTAATAGCTTGGTTATAGAAGTAGGTTTAAAGGACCAACTTAAAGACAGTACATTAAGTGGAGAATCGGAGAAGTTCAGGGAGGAATTTGTGGAGCTTGTGAATCATAGAATCCCTGCAGCGTGGATGCAGGCCATTCAGCCCAGTAAGTCCACAGTGACGCTCAGAAAAGCATCCCACCCAGATCTCTCTCTCTCTCGCTCGCTCTCTCTCTCTCTCTCTCTCTCTACTTCTCTCTACTTCTTTCTTTCCCGCTGCCCCCCCCCCCCCCCCGCCAATAACCCTGTATTTCCCACGGCTAATCCACCTAGCCTGCGCATCCCTGGACACTATGGGCAATTTAGCATGGTCAATCCACCTAACCTGCACCTCTTCGGACTGTGGGAGGAAACCAGAGCACCGGAGAAAACACACGCTGACACAGGGAGAATGTGCAAACTCCACTCAGACAGTTGCCCAAGGATGGAATCAAACCCAGGTCCCTGGCACTGTGAGGCACCAGTGCTAACCATGACGCCCCTTAGAAGCTGAACGAATGGCTACAAATGCAGGAGTGATTAAGTTTGGGAATACTCAAGAGGCCGGAGTTGGACCAGTTTTAGAGATAGGAACATAGGAATTCAGAGCAGGATTGGACTGTAGAGCCAATCAATAAGATCATGGCTGAAATGGTTGTGTTTTCTCTCCTACTTTCCAGTCTCGCACCATACCCCTTGATATCCGAAACTACCAAAAATTAATGTAATTCTGCCCTGCATAAATTTAGTGACACAGCCTTCATTACCTTCTGGAGAGAGATATCAACAGTTGTGTGACTGGAGGAGATCAGAGACATAGTGATGGTCACAAACAGGAAGGAAAGTGAGGATAAGAATTTTATAATATGGTGCTTCTTAAGCCAGAGCTTCTGTAGGTCAGCAAGCACAGGGGTGATGGATGAACAAAAGTTGATGCGAATCAGCACATGGACAGCACAGTGTTGGATGATCTCAAGATTACAGGGAGGTTGAATAAAAGAGGACAGGAGTGCTTTATGTGATGAAAGTTGAGTGATTTATATGTATGTATTAATATCATTTATAGATTTTGCATTTCTAAGTATTAGTTTACTCTAGTGACAGATTTTGTTTAAAATAAAGTCAAGGTCAGAGAATCTTTGAGGAACATTGAACTAATCCACTGTTACACAGAGAGCAAGTAGCTGCAAACTGCTAGAGTTTCAAAGTAAAGTTGCTTACACTGTGGTGGCTTACGACAGGTAGAGTAAACATTGAAAGCCATTAGTTTGTTTTCAGTCCAGAATAATCAAGGACTAACTTTTTATTTTAGAAAATCCAGAGTTGTTTTGGGCAGTTTGAAGGAGACCTGACTGGGGTCAGAAGCACATAGTTTCTCTTCTAAAAATAGATTTTTCAGAGATTTTAGGATATAAGTAACATTGGTGGAAGTTTAGCTCGGCAGCTTCGAGAAGGCGAGTTTTGTTAGAAATCAGTAGGTTATTAGAAACAGATGTTTAAGCTGTCAGCATTGTAAGCATTCATGTATGAAGATTGCACAGTTTGCAAGAAAGAGACTAATGATAATCAATTAAGTAGAACTTAAATATTTGATATCAAGGGATAATTTCTATGGATTGGAATTTCTTTAAATTGGTGCATTGGGAAATAGGTTGAAAATGTCATTTTGCTGTGAATTTTAAGAAGACTCTAAATTGTTCTTGATAGTTTGTTTTTGTTTTTATCTTAGTGTACTAATCTTCTGTTTTGTTGCTAAAGAACATCAGCCTTATTTGAATATGTCTCAGTGACTGGCCACCACATTTATTAACTTAACAACGTAACAAGTATATGATTGATAAAGCCCAGTTTCAATCTTGGGTCTGTCTTGTCAAGTCAGTCCCATCAGCTGGGATCACAACAGCTATGATAGTTACATCTAAACGTAACAAGGGAATGGATGAGAGTTTCAGCAGCAGATGAGCTGAGGCTCGGTTGGGGTTGAGTGTTGTTACTGAAGTGGTCTTGGTGAAAACCGGGATATTTCGGTGGAGGGGGGCTCATTTCACCATAGTTATGAACACTCTGATTCAACCACAAAACATTTACCAGGGAGGGAGTTGGAATCAAGGGCGAGGAAATGGAGTTTAGAGTGGAAACTGAAGATAATGGCTTCAGTCTTCCTGATATGTGGGGTAAATTTCTGCTTATCCAGTACTGGAGGTCAGACAAGTCAGGGTGGTGTGCAAACTGGAGGGAGTTGGAGTTCATGATGTTTACGTACAACTGGTCCTTCTAGGGGCTGGAGTTTGAGGGCTTGGTAGATTCTATCAGAGTACTGATTGAATTATAGAAGAACAAAGTAAATGAAATCTGACACTTTTGCCTCCTCTGTCTCTCTCTCTCACTTTGTATTTCCAAACCATTTCCCTTCCCTAAAGGACATCAGTGAACAGGTTGGGTTTTTGTGTCAATCCAGCAACTTTCATGATCACTTTTTCCTTGTGCTGCCCTCACAAATTGCCAAGATTTGTTCAGATTAATCTCACAATCTGCGTTTTGTATTTTGTGAGTGTTGACTCACTCCCTTTTTTTTTCCTGTTTTAAACCAGTTTCACAGAGTGTTTGAAGAGGCGGGTTTGCTCTGTACAAACAGGTTCTGATAGCATCACCGAGGAGCCTGAATTGTATTTTGAACATGGAAGGAAAAAGCACCATTTCCAGTGGGGAGAAACCATGGAAATGTGGAGACTGTGGGATGGGGTTCAATTACCCATCTGTGCTCGAAAGGCATCAGCGAAGTCACACTGGGGAGAGGCCATTCACCTGCTCGGACTGTGGGAAGGGATTTGCTCGGTCTTCTACCCTAATGAGACACCAAAGAGTTCACACTGGGGAGAGGCTGTTCACCTGCTCTGACTGTGGGAAGGGATTCACTCAGTTATACCACCTGCTGACACACCAGCGAGTTCACACTGGGGAGAGGCCATTCAGCTGCTCTGAGTGTGGGAAAGGATTCACTCAGTTATCCCATCTGCTGCTACACCAGCGGGTCCATACTGGGGAGAGGCCTTTTAAATGCCCTGACTGTGGGAAGTCTTTTAAAAGTTCCAGGGACCTGATGCGTCATCAACATGTTCACACTGATGAGAGACCTTTTAAATGCTCAGACTGTGGGAAGTGCTATAAAGGTTCCACAGAACTGATATGCCATCAACGTTTTCACACTGATGAGAGACCATTCAGGTGCTCTCACTGTGGGTCTGGGTTCAGGACATCTTCACAGCTCACTGTACACCAGCGAGTTCACACTGGGGAGAGACCATTCATCTGCTCCGTCTGTGGGAAGAGATTCACTCAGTCATCCAACCTGCTGAAACACCAGCGTGTTCACACCGGCGAGCGGCCTTTCACCTGCTTAGTGTGTGGAAAGGGATTCAGTCAGTCAACCACCCTGCTGACACATCAGCGAGTTCACACCGGGGAGAGGCCGTTTGCCTGCTCCGAGTGCGGGAAGGGATTTGCTGATTCGTCCACTCTGCGGGCACACCAGCGAGTTCATACCGGGGAGAGGCCTTTCACCTGCTCCCAGTGTGGGAAGGGATTCACTCAGTTATTCCACCTGCGGAGACACCAGCGAGTTCACACCGGGGAGAGACCATTCTCCTGCTCTGAGTGTGGGAAGGGATTCACTCAGTCATCCCACCTGCTGAAACACCAGCGTGTCCATGAGGAGCTACAGTGATTGGATTTAGCTGTCAATCGTATTAATCGCACAATCCTCCAGATTGGGGCAAGGAACAGTTTAATAATTGATGTATGTTGCTGAGTATTAACTGATTCACACAGCCATGTGAAACTCTCTCTTCCTCAAGTCCTCAAACATTGCATAAATTATTACAGCTGAAATGTTACGGTATAAGGAGCAAAAGGTTTAAGGCAAAGGCTTTCCCCACATAGAACCACACTGTTGAGAACACTTCTGAAGGCTCGTGTAGAGTGAAAGGATGGTAAAGAGGAGTAGAGCTGCTTAGGAACCAGAAAGGGAATTCACTCAATGAAGCAGGTAACATACAGAGGGGAGTGCAGTGAAGGGGTGGGAGGAATGTCAGTTGGGGTGGGGTCATGAGGAAAAGGAGGTCAGTTGGAATATTGGATCTGGGTGTGGATGTTGTTGAGTCTGCCAGGGCTGGGGTGGGTGTTTGGAGCAGTTGGGGGGATGTCATGTTGGTGGATGGAGGTGTTTTTGAATCTTGGGTGTCTTGAGGGTGTAGTTGAGGGGTCCAGTGATGCGCCAGTTTAAAAATTATGAGTTCGAGCTGGTTATAATCTCACTTTTTCTGAGTAATTATTATCCTTAAGTCAGTTCAGATCTTGCTAACTCTCTCAGTCTCTGTCAGCATCTCCAACAGTGCAGGATACTTTCAGACTCTGTATGTACCTCTGACAGTGCAGAACATTCTCAGTCTCCGCGAGCGCCTCTGACAGTGCAAGACTCTCTTAATCTCTATCAGCACCTCTAAGTGTACAGGAGTCTGTTTTTCTGTGCAAGTGTTGGATAAGATTGCGGTACTTAGGTTTAAGCAGTGGAATTTGACCTCACAACCTTCCAATGCAGAGGTTATAGTGCAAATAACATTGAAAGCAGATCAAACAATTGAACTGAACAGAATGAATGGGAGGATTAGAGGAGATTTGTCAAGTAATTTATTTGATCCAGAGAGGTTGAACCGGTGGGGGAAGCAGAAATTCCCATTGGATTAAAGAAAAAGATATTTGAAAAACCATTTGAGGTATTGGGATGATACCCAGCCAGATATTTATTGAATTTGAGAAAGAAACAGAAATATTGTAGAATCAGTGATTTTGTTCATTGAAGCTAGAGTAAACTTGCGAAAGTGTGAAAAAACTCATGATTATGGGAGAATTCAGTTGCATTCCAGTAACAATTAAATCCTACTTTTGCTTCAGTTCCGTACTTAGGATGAGTTCTCCTAAGTACGGAACTGAAGCAAAAGTAGCTCGAGCAGAAGCAGATGATATTTCTCACGGGCTGTGAAGTGGTCAAATTTTGGCTCATGGAAAAGCACAGAGTAGCTGGAGGAATAAACAAGAATATGGTTTTCAGAAAAAGGCAGAAGCTTTTCCAGGTAATACAAAGGAGAATACAGAGAATATAAGTAATGTTAGGGCATGTAAAAGCGGATTGTTGGAAGCAGAATGGCGAAATAGTGGAGTAATAGGAACACTTCAAAACAGTACCAGAAAAGGAAGTTGGATGTTAAACCAGTGGCATTGATGCACGTGACAGGAATTTCCACAAAACTGGTACAAGGAGAAGTACTTGTGTGTCCTCATCAGTAGCAGACACTAGTGAGAAGAGCCAATATCCAGTAAAATTGCCAAATAAGGTGCTTCAGTAGTTGGAAAGTACTGAGATCTCAAAATGATCTTGAAGCGTTAAGTTCAGTTGACAGCAAATCTGAAGTGCTTTCTTGTGTTCTGACATATAATGACAGAAATACTGTCGAGATCTCAGTTACCAAAAGACCATTTGAAACCCCAAGAAGATTGGAAGGAAATGGTTTGTTTATTGTGTGGGAGCCAACAAGTCTTGGAAAGGAAACTCCAGTCCAGGACGATGAGGCTGTGGATATCGCTCGGAAAGAATTGAATAAGGCATCTTTAGAGTGGCATCAGGATAAAGTGAAAGATCTCAAAAGTGCGCAGAAACAGAATCCAGCGGGAATACTCCATACTTTCATTGGAACATGTAAGCACCTCAGTAACATTCACTAAATGGAAAGGAATTTTAATTAAGGCAAAGACAAATTGCTACACGCAAATAAGTTATTTTGATCTTCGTTTCCCTCCAACAAAGTGACTCTTTGAATTTGGAAAATGAAATAAGGATGAATTTAAAACTACAGTTAATGAAAACAATGATACTTGATTTGTAGACTGAACTGAAACATTCTTTGCAGAGTTAAAGGAAAAGTGTAAAGTAGGACTGAGATGCTGAGTAATGTCAGTGAAATGATTATTATTTGCTGCTAATCCTTCTTGTCACATGTATTTGCTTTTGTTTGGGTTAATCTTTTATAGTTTTGTAAATATGCTGTACATAAATGTGTAAATGAAAAATTTATTTGTACTGTCTGCATTAAGCTATTTGTTAAATGTTTATTATAAGAAATGTCATATTTTCAAAGTGTTTCTAAAGAAACTTCAGGATGGTGAATCTTTCCTTCTTCCAATCAGAAAGCTGCGGTGAATACTTTTCTTTGTAAGCATTCTCTGCGCTGAAAGCCACTATTCTGTCAAAGTGGCAACATTATAACAATTCAGGGGTTACTGATAAGCAGTTCCGAATTCCCAAGACAGTTAGTTGAAGAAAGGCAGACTGGCATGCTAGGAGTGCTGCTATTTGGCTGTCTTGCAGGGAGGGGATTCTCTGTGCTGTTAGAGTGAACTCTGGAAGAAATTTTAGGGATTAGTACACAGTTAACAGTTGGAGTAAGGACTCTGAAGAAGTCCTGGGAAGCTGTGGAAGTAGGTAGGTTGCTGGTTTTTTGTTGGGGAAAATGTGAGGGGCTTCCAAGTATTAGTCCTTCAGTGCAGCTGAGAGAGTGGAGGTTGAAAAACCCACAAACAGTATTTGTTTCATACAGCTGAGCAAGATTCAGGCTCAGGGAAAGCCCATGAACATATCAAGATTGGTGAAAAGTTGGAATTGTGCTCGTGACGAAGTGCGGAATGTGGTTTCTGAGCAAAGGGGTGAGTGAACCCAGGATAGGAGGGTGATTGGCAAGAACAAGAACTTTTGTTGAATAGATTATTACGGAATGGGTCTTAAGGATTTTTAAGGCCAGAAAAGCAAAAGTTAAGAGTTGCAGTCCTTTGTGAGATTAAATGAGATTTAACAATGAACCATCTCATTAACATCTTGGAGAGGGTTACTGAGAAATCCATGAGATCTGACTTGATCATGTTTTGTCATTGGATATGAGCTGTGTAATCGCATTGTATTAACCATGTTTACTTCCTGTTAATTCTGGGTGTTCAAAATAAGTTGGACATGTTTTGTAGATTGTATTATTGTCCTACAATAAAGACTTGTTCTATGTTCAAAACCATTGAAATGTGGTTCTATATTCTTAGCAAATGTGATGTGACCTTTTATCTATTTTGAAAATATAAGGTTATTAGTTTAAAGTATTGGCAAAGATCTGTAGCTCGGGTTGTGGATGAGGTTGTTGACATGCTTACCGAGCTGGCTTCTTCTCGTTCAGATGTTTTGTCACCATGCTAGGTGACATCATCAGTGGAGTCTCCGATGAAGCAATGTTATTCTACTCTGCTTGGAAGTTATACTGTGCGGTCTGTTATGGTGCATACTGTCATTTCTGGTTTTGATCTGTGTGGGTTTGTACATGGGGTCCAATTCTACATATTTGTTGATAGAAGTATGGGTGAAGAACCATGCCTCTAGGAATTCCCGTGCATGTCTATGTTTGGCTTGGGCTACTATAGCTACTTTGTCCCAATTAAACTGATGGCATTCATTGTCTGAATGTACAGATATTAAGGAGCGAGATATTAAGAAACTAGCCATCAGAATACACAAACATCAACTAGCAGCAAAACGGCACGATGAACTTTCCTTAATATCTGTGTATTCAGACAATGAAAGCCATCAGTTTAACTTGGACAAAGTAACCATAGTAGCCCAAGCCAAACATAGATACTCATGGGAGTTCCTAGAGGCATGGTTCTCCATCCAAACTTCAATCAACAAACATATAGAATTGGACCCCACATATAAACCCATACAGATCAAAACTGGAAATGACAGTACTCATTATAATGGACCGGACAGTATAAATTCCAAGCAGAGTAGAATAACATGGCTTCATCGGAGGCTCCACTGATGATGTCACCCAGCATGGTCACAAAACATGTGAACAAGAACAAGTAGCTTGGCGAGCAAGTCAACAACCTCAAGGTTATTAGTTCCTCACCAAATCCCAGCATCAAATTAGCAATCTGGTCTGAGGCCGTAATATAATTTTGTAATCTCACCTGGGATCATTAGAATATTAACCAAGCCTTTTAAAATAACTTGTGATTGATCCGAATTAAGCTTCACTATGATATCATCATTTGTTGCAGGTTTGAATAAACGATTATCAGAACAACATTATGTAAAGCAGGTCAGATGCTATCACAATATCACATGTTACTTCTAAGCTGGCTTCTCTATTAGTTTATTAAGCAATGTTTAGTCTGAGAATGACTGATTATTTTACTAAAAATGACAGTCTAAACTTTCATACATTGCCTGGAATGTGTATGCAGTACATTGACCCCTTGCTAGTCTTTTTAAATCTCAACTTTGTTCTGCATAACATGACTGCAAGACGTTGTCACAATTTGTTAACCTACTTTTTACACCAGTTGAGGTTATAATTACTACAATTTAAACAATTCCTAAGGCTGCAGCTAATATATGTAATATCTTGTAATTGTATTCCAAATGGCTTGTCGAAAATGGTATCAATATCTTTTAACTCTGACAGCAGGTATTTGTTTTAAGTCCCATGTTTTATTTATCCAGAACAAAAGATAATTGACTGGAAGACGCAATCCTTTGCATTAAATGTGTCAGATGTTCATGCATTGGAGGACTTTCATATCCGAAGGTGCTAATATATTAATCTAGTTGATCCTTTAAATCATAATGACCTCATCTCAAATATTAATAATTGTTTACATTATCCAAAACTTTTTTTTTATCTGGACGGATTTGGCTGGGTGAAGCAAAGTTCCTGTGATGATAAGGCAGGATATATTTCCTGACAGGTTAAAATAGTCAAATTCCTGTTGAGTGGTCCTAACACAGTCCCCACTTTCACTCCTTTCAGCTGAATACACACAGAATTCGCTCCTCTTGTTAACATCGTGGTACTATTCGGTCCTTTTGACTGCAAAAAACCCAGAGTCATAATGAATAATTACTAATTAATTAAACTCAATAAGGCACAGGACCACACGAGATATCCGAGTAAATGAGAGAAAGTGTGAAAATTTTGGAGTTAGTGGCAGTAATGTTTCCATCTTACTTTACCTTGAGTAATGACAGAGAACTAGAGAGTTAAGAAGCCTTGTTGATGTACTCTTGTCCAAAATAGGGTGTGAATGTTAGCCCAGTAACTACAGGCTGGTCAGTTTAACTTTGATGATTTGTGAACTTTGAGAAAGAATAATTTGGGGCAAGATAAATAGTCATATGGAAAATTGTTATTTAAGGAGTGATAATACTAATCTCTCAAGGGAAAGTAGTGTTATCTAACTTACTGGAGTTTTTGAAGAGCTATCTGAAAGAGTTGATCAGGGCAATAATGCTATTATGGTGTACATGGACTTAAAAATGGCATATGATACAGTGCCACATGGGAAACTTGTGAGCGAAGTTAGGGCTCATTGAATGAAGGGGACAACAGCAATATAGATGCAAAATTGGCTGGATGATATGAATTAGTCATATTTCATGGATGTTTGTTGGGCTGGATTTCCAGAGGGCCCTATTGAGACCATTGCTTTACCAGATATATATTCGTTCTGAGGAAGAGTCACCAGACCCGAAATATTAACTCTGATTTTTTTCTTCACAGATGCTGTTGAGCTTTTCCAGCAACTTCTGTTTTTGTTCCTGATTTACAGCATCTGCAGTTCTTTCAGTTTTATATATTAACAGACAGTGGCATACAGGGTATAATTTGCAAAACTTGGGGACATTACAAATCTTCAAACCATTTGTAAACTCAAGAGTATAATGTAGAAAATCAAAAGGACAAAGGCAAGTCGATGAAGTGGGCAGATAGGTGGTGGATGAAATTGATGTGGAGAAATGTGGTGTACTATACTATACATTACTATAGGAAGAGCAGCATTCCTTTCTAATACAAAATAACCTTTTTTTAACATTGGTATTTCTTGCAAGACAAAAGCTTTGACAAAATGTGAATTTTTAACAGTAATATTCAAGTGGTATTAACAAATGACCACCAAAGAAAACAGAGCTCTAAAAAGGGTACAGAAACAACAATCTTGTGGTGAGTAAAGTGTCAACAGGGGAATAACCAGCGAATGGATGACCTATAATCCAATTAAGTGAGGCAGAGAGATAATTACAAAAAATTTAAAAAATAAGGTGGTGCTGGAGAACAAACTAAATAACTGGAATCACATGCTGATTTCAAAACTGTACAAATTAATTAAGGTACCACCACGTACACGGCAGATACTCGTGACTCGGCCAAAGTTATCTATTCATACTCTGCTTCCAAGGATGCCCCGAGACATGGTATATTGGTAAAACCATGTAGATGCTAAAATAATGGATGAATGGGCACTGCGTGACAATCACCAGACAGGAATGTTCCCTCCCCATCAGGGAACACTTCAGCGGTCAAAGCCACTCAGCCTCCGATCTTTGGGTAAGCGTCCTCCAAGGTGGAGTTCAAGATACACAGCAACGCAGAATCACCGAGCAGATACTGATAGCCAAGTTCTGTACCCATGAAGACGGCCTCAATCGTGATCTCGGGTTCACTGTCACGCTACAGGTGACTTACCACCATCCTGTTCTGTATCTGTAAAATCTTCCGTTCTGTCCTGTTTTTGACAGCCTCAACTTGATAAATTGTTATGATCTCTCTACCTTAATTAGTTTGTCATTTAGTTTGTTTTCCAGCACCACCTCTTTTAATATTTTTGTCATTATCTCTCGGCCTCACTTAATCGGATTACAAGGTTGTCCCTTTGGTGGTTATTCCGCTGTTGACACTTTAGTCACCGTCTAACACGCTTGGTCGCCCGCAGAGACATCATCTGACAGTCAGCTCACACCAGTTGTATGATCTTTTGATCTCTCTCTGCCTGTGAACTCTGGGTCTGTGTGCTCCTATCTCTCACTAAACCTGACAAAGGAGCTGCGCTGCGAAAGCTCGTGTAATTGCAAATAAACCTGCTGGATTACGACCTGGCGTCGCGTGACTTCTGACTTCCACTGGACGCGGGACATTTACCGCACTTTTCCCAGCGGTTGTGAATGTCCCCTCGATACCTGACGGTGGCGCTGTACCACCGCTTGTGTGTAGAGCATGCGTAGTGTCAGCGACGGCGATGGGGAGAGGCAGTGCTGCGGGAGACCTGCAGCCGGGTGAGAGCGTGTTGGGGGCGATAGGGCCGGCGTGGGGATGGGTTGGGGTGCGTGGGCAGAGTTTCTGAAAGCCGAGGGAAGGCCTTAGTCCCGACCAGGGACTTTCAGGTCCCCTTTTTGCGGACCGGTGTCTTTTTCCCCCCGCCGAGACCAGGCCTCAGTCCACGGCCGCCATTTTTGGCCCGCGGGAAGCATGCGCAAACTGTACCAGTGGCGTCACAAACGGCCTGGGCGGGGCCTCCGGCGCCCTGGACGCGGAGCTTCCAGGGAAATGGTTTTTTTTCACCCCCCCGCAGCTTCAGGTATTCCTGTGCTGTAGCAGGTGAGTCCCCTGGGCCATGTAGCCATTCAGTGGGAAAGGCTGCGGTCCCTGTACAGTCACCCACTACTCAACATCTGGTCACACCTCAGCCCCATATGCAGTTGTCCAGTATGGAATGGGGTGAGTAACTTGGAGGAGGATTCTCTGCTTGTTCTGTGATTAGTTAAGACAGTAACATGAGTAGAGCCCGTGAGGTTAAGAATATCAAACAGGCTGAAGTTATGGAATAGGATCAGTCCATCAAGCCTGCTTACCCATTGTACAACATGATCTGCCTGCCCTTCAATAACAGGTTGCCAGCATCTGTTCCATAGTCTTGTCTGTTCCCAGATGATCCTGTTGAGAGTGTGATCTCCACTGGTAACTTGACACCTTTCACATCCACTCGGAATCTCAGAGATACTGGGAATAACTTTCCAGTTTACTTAGGAATGTTCCCTCTCCTTTGGTCTACTGCTTATTTTGACTTCTTTTAGTTTGACTGGAGCCTATGTTTGGGTGAATGAGTGGAAAGGTTACTCCATTAAAACTAGAAAGATCTGATCTGGATTTCTTTCCTGGACTGATTATGATACTGATGCTGTCAACTCCTTTTACAGGAGATTAGAAGGTGATTTGCAAATGGGAAACTCAAAGCAAATGTTATATCAAGAATTGACAGATTCACTCAATTCATCAAGACCTAAATATTTTGAATGTGGAAGGAATAATATTGGTCTACTTTGTCTGTGAAAAAAGATTTCCAAAGATCTGTGTGACTGGAAAGGCAGTGAGAGACACACACACACAAAATCAGTGTTTCAGTGAACTGACTATGGAAAGAGCTTTAACCAGTTACACAGACAGATAAAAACTCTCATAACCATTCACAACAGGAGGCGACTATACATTTGCTGTGCATGCAGACAACACTTCAACTGCTTGTCAAACCTGGAGACACATAAGGACAGCAGCACCACGGAGAAACCGTGGAAATGTGGGTTTTGTGACAAGAGGTTCAAATTCCCATCCAAGCTTGAAATTCATCGACGCAGTCACACCGGGGAAAGACCGTTCCCATGCTCTGTTTGTGGGAAGGGATTCATGAATGAATCTCACCTTATTGCGCACCAAGTGGTTCACACTGAAACACGACCTTTCAAATGTGCTGATTGTGAGAAGAGCTTTAAGAACGCAGGGGGTCTGTTGGCTCACCAGCGATTTCACACTGAAGAGAGGCCCTTCAGCTGCACGTACTGTGGGAAGGGATTCACTCGGTCGTCCAGGCTTACTGAGCACCAGCGAGTTCACACTGGGGAGAGACCGTTCACCTGCTCCAAGTGTGGGAAGGGCTTCACTTGTTTAACCAGCCTCAATTCACACCAATTTGTTCACACCGATAAGAAACCATTTCAATGTTCTTGCTGTGAGAAATGCTTTAAAAGTACTGGTGATCTGCTGCAGCATCAGCGAGTTCACACTGGGGAGCGGCCATTCACCTGCTCGGAATGCGGGAAAGGATTCGCACACTCATCCCATCTACTGAGGCACCAGCCAGTTCACAGTGGAGAGAGGCCGTTCACCTGCTCAGTGTGCGGAAAGGGATTTGCTCAGTCATCTACCCTGCTGAGGCACCAGTTAGTTCACACTGATGAGAGGCCTTTTAAATGTCCAGCCTGCGAGAAGTGCTATAAAAGTTCTCGGGAACTGGTGTCCCATCAACGTGTTCACACTGACGAAAGACCTTACCGGTGCTCCCAGTGTGGGACTGGGTTCAGGAGGTCATCTCAACTCACTGCACACCAGAGAATTCACACTGGGGAGAGGCCGTTCACTTGTTCTGACTGTGGAAAGGGATTTGCTCAGTCATCTAATCTGCAGAAACATCAGCGAGTTCATAAGTAACTACAGTGATTATATTTTGCTGTTAATCACTACCACTTGTTCTTCGGTATTTGTCAATTATTCATGGGTTCATTCCTTTCATTATGTTTAGTTATTGTCACTTTATGACTTTAATATGAGGGGATAGTTTGAAATCTTCTTTACCCATTTGTTAAAGAATAGGGAGGCATTTGCAGTGAGAACCCAAAGATTGATATCTTTGAGCTCATGTCTCAATTCTTGGTTATTTTGTGAAGTTCCCATTAAATCAGACACTTGCTCATCATTGACCATTTGCTTTTCTCTTAGTTAGTCATTATCTGGTGTTTTTTTAGTTTTTGTTTCTGCTGTGTTTAAATCTTGAAAACAGTTTGTTACCTTTTATACTTTAAAGACAAAACTAATACAGAAGACCACAATGTACTCAAATGGAAAATACCAATTTCAAGAAGTTGTTAAAATCTGAAGGATCATACATTTGCAAAATTAAACACATTGCTACAAAATTAGATTTATTTAAAACAAACTAAAACACACCAGCACAAGGATGTTGCTGTAGTTATAAATTCTTTATAAAGACTAACAAGGAAGGAGTATACTATTTCTGTCTTATTCATCCTTTGAAATCTGGATATAGCCAGTCATAAGCTAAACAGAGGCTCCTCATCCTAAACAGTGATAGCTCTAAAACATTAGGTTACCATTTTCAGATTACAAGGTGTAGAGCTGGATGAACACAGCAGGCCAAGCAGCATCAGAGGAGCAGGAAAGCTGACGTTTTGGGCCTAGACCCTTCTTCAGAAATGGGT